TTAAAATAAAATGATGTAATATTTGCATATAACCTATGCACAACTGACTGTATAATTTAAATCATCTCTAGATTACTTATAATACCTAATACAATGGTAAGTGCCATGAACATAGTTATTATACTGTATTGCTTAGGGAATAATGACAAGATCAAAAAGTCCATACTTTTTTTTTTTTTTACAAAGAACTAAAACAGTTTACAAAAAAAAAAAACAAGCCCATTCAAAAGTGGGAAAACAATATAAACAGATACTTTACAAAAGAAGACATACATGAGGCCAACAAACATAAGAAAAAATGCTCATCATCACTGGCCATTAGAGAAATGCAAATCAAAACCACATTGAGATACCATCTCACGCCAGTTAGAATGGTGATCATTAAAAAATCTGGAGACAACAGATGCTGGAGAGGATATGAAGAAATAGGAACACTTTTACACTGTTGGTGGGAGTGTAAATTAGTTCAACTGTTGTGGAAGACAGTGTGGTGAGTCCTCAAGGACCTAGAAATAGAAATTCCATTTGACCCAGCAATCCGATTACTGGGTATATATCCAAAGGACTATAAGTCGTTCTACTATAAGAACACATGCACACAAATGTTCATTGCAGCACTGTTTACAATAGCAAAGACCTGGAACCAACCCAAATGCTCATCGATGATAGACTGGACTGGAAAAATGTGGTACATATACACCATGGAATATTATGCAGCAATCAAAAACAATGAGTTTGTGTCCTTTGTAGGGACATGGATTAACCTGGAGAACATCATTCTCAGCAAACTGACACAAGAACAGAAAATGAAATATCGCATGTTCTTGCTCATAGGTGGGTGTTGAACAATGAGAACTTATGGACACAGGGAGGGGAGCACTACACACTGGGGTCTGTTGGGGGAAATAGGGGAGGGACAGTGTGGGGTGGGGAGTTGGGGAGAGATGGCATGGGGAGAAATGCCAGATATAGGTGAAGGGGAGGAAGGCAGCAAATCACACTGCCACGTGTGTACCTATGCAACTATCTTGCATGTTCTTCACATGTACCCCAAAACCTAAAATGCAGTTAAAAAAAAGTCCATACCTATTCAGTACAGATGCAATTATTTAATGAATATTTTTCTATCCAAGAGTGATCGAATCCATTGATGGAGGATGAACCCATGAATATGAAGGACTAAGGCACATAACAAAATTGTACACTAAATTAAGTCTCACAAATTTTTGGACTCTTTAGCATTAGTGGCTATGGAATAAATTTTAATGAGGCGCTCATAATTTTGTATTTCTTGAAGAACTTTACTTATGTTTTTAACTTCGTGGTTGTTTTTTGTTTGTTTGTGTGTTTGTTTTGCTAATGTGTGCTCTAGGTTGAGGGTTACTGAACTTTAACAACAAAACAGAATGAAAGTATTCATTGGAGGATGTTAAAGCATAAGGATAGTATCTAATTGGGAATTTGGTGTACCCTATCATTTGCTTATCCTTTTTAAAATCTTTCTTGGCATTCTCAGTTTTGTTCTGTTTTGTTGTTTTGTTTATATAAAAAGAATATTGGCCTGTAATCCCAGCACTTTAGGAGGCCGAGGCGGGTGGATCACGAGGTCAAGAGATCGAGACCATCCTGGACAATATGATGAAACCCCATCTTACTAAAAATACCAAAAAATTAGCTGGGCGTGGTGGTGCATGCCTGTAGTACCAGCTACTCAGGAGGCTGAGGCAGGAGAATTGCTTGAACCTGGAAGGCGGAGGTTGTAGTGAACCAAGGTTGCGCCACTGAGCTCCAGCCTGGCTCCTGGTGACGGAGTGAGACTCTGTGTCAAAAAGAAAAAAGAATATTGGCGCTTTTTTAATACCTAATATTATGGGACTTGTACATCACATTGCATAGGTTTCTTATCCCTAACATCACAGCCTATCCCTGACTGAATTAGCAAAGGCAGTTTCCACATGAACTTACAACTAATATAGTAATTATCACTTTTGCCAATGTTTGTTCTTGTTCACATATGAATGTTAGCTAAAACACCTTTGATTATTGCCAACATTAACCCGTTAAATACATATTTGACTCTTAACAGTCAAAATAGAATTTGAGTTTCAAGGCATTTTCAGAATCTTTTTATCCACTGATATTCTATAACAATATCTTGAAGCTTATAGATTTTAGCCAGAAAAGCACTAATTTCAGTAGCCATTGAGAAAACATGGTTTTTTTTTTTGTTTGTGTCTGTGGCTTAAAAACTGGGAATAAGCCTTTGTCATCTTCTGATTTTCTTATTTCACTGTGGATAATTTTGTAGACTCCAGAACTCAGTAAATCATTACATATTGTCTCATTCGTGGCCACTTACAAGCAGAAATCTTGTCTCAATGTTTGGCCACAAAAATAGTAAAATAAAAATTGTTAAGATTCTCACATAGAGCTAATTGAATATTGACATATTGCATAGCACTCAGCAAAGAGATATGTTTATTTTTTGAAGAAATTGGTATTTTCTATTTCCTTTTAAAATGTATAAAACATTACCATTTCTGTGCATTATTGTTGCTGACAGGCAAATATATATTTATTGAAGCAAACTCATTTTTCACTCCACTATTTGAAATTAAATTAAAAATTTACTTATACAGCATTCAAGTGTACCTTATGTGCAGAGCAATACTTAGGGATCAGTTTTTACAAATTAAGAGTGGGTCCTTAAATATTTGTACAATGTAAAATGTCCATTGGCTGTAAAATGATGTTTCTCTCGAAGATAAAGGATTATATCAAGACCTGAACCAGTAGTAAGAATTGTGTAACTGTAACTATGATTTCCTTCTACTTTTTGAATTTTACTAACTACACACTTCGTCGACTTTATACATCCATATGACATCCTTTTCCTTCAAATTTTGAGGCACTGTGAGTCTGTGTCTCTGTGTGTGCATTTGCACACACAATTGCCACAAAAGAAGCTACCAAAAATATGCATCCAAGCATATTTAAAAACTTTTGTATAAAGCACTTTTAAACATAAATCAAAAAATATGTGGCTGTCATGACTGGTTATTACAACACAAATCATGTGCTGGCCTATAGCTGTTGAAATCCCTAGCTGCTGTATGTCCTAGAAATTAAATTATATTTTTCTTTTCCTGCACTCTATGGAATTTGAGGCCGAACTCTGAGGTTAAATCACTGTTTTGACCTCAAAGATCTTTCAAGAAGTATTCATAAGAAGCTGTCTCTGGAGCCTTCCACTTTATAGTAACAAATGATATGAACTATGTAGCTAGTAAAAAAAAAAAAGTAGCAATTAAATTAGCTAATAGAATCTAATATCAGGTGAATGAGATTTTCTTTTGCCACATATTTGTTCTTTTTTCATTTTCATATCTAAAGCAATTATTTTACCAAAATCAAATAATATTCTATATCACCTTCAAAAGATGTATGATTTTACTTAAAGTAATAGCCAGAGATATTAGGGGAAACATCTCTCTCCCCTATATGACTTTTATGAAAATAGATTTTCTTTAAATACAAAAGTTTCAGTTGTAATTTTCACTTCTTTAGACAAAGATGCCCTGAGTTATCTGGTAAGTCAGCAATAGTATTTAAATTTCTTAATTGGTAAAAATTATTTAATAATTTGTCAAGAGTTCTGGATATGGAGTAAATTTGTTTTTCTGTTTTCTTAGATTGCTGTGAGAAGGAGCCATGTAGGTAAGCCCTACAAATAATTTTTTAATTGAAATTTACAAATACAGGGTTTAGTGAACATATTTTTCTCACATTAGATGATTTTTAACCTTAAAATCAATTTTATCAATAATATGTAGGTGATACTTGGATTCTCTGTTCATTTTTTTCTTATTAAAGTATATTTGAGGAAATGGTTTACTTCCTTTTTGTAAATTATACTTTAAGTTCTGGGATACATGTACAGAATGTGCAGGTTTGTTATACAGGTATACACGTGCCATGGTGGTTTGCTGAGCCCATCAATCCATCACCTACATTAGGTATTTCCTCTAATGCTATCCCTCCCCTAGCCCTCCACCACCTGATAGGCCCCCATGTGTGATGTTCCTCCCCTGTGTCCATGTGTTCTCATTGTTCAACACTCACTTATGAGTGAAAACATATGCTGTTTGTTTTCTATTCCTGTGTTAGTTCTAAGAATAATTGTTTCCAGTTTCATTTATTTCCCTGCAGAGGACATGAACTCATCCTTTTTATGGCTGCATAGTATTCCATTGTATATATGTGACACATTTTCTGTATCCAGTCTATCATTGATGGGCATTTCGGTTGGTTCCAAGTCTTTGCTATTGTGAATAGTGCTGCACTAAATATACATGTGCATGTGTCTTCATAGTAGAATGCTTTATAATCCTTTGTGTATATACCCCTAAGGGGATTGTGGGGTCAAATGTTATTTCTGGTCCTAGATCCTTGAGGAATCACCACACTGTCTTCCGCAATGGTTGAACTAATTTACACTCCCACCAACAGTATAAAGGTTTTCCTATTTCACCACATCCTCACCAGCATCTGTTAGTTTTTGACTTTTTAATGATTGCCATTCTAACTGGCATGAGATGGTATCACATTGTGGCTTTAATTTGCATTTCTCTCATGAGAAGTAATAATCTTTTTTCATGTTTCTTGGCCACATAAATGTCTTCTTTTGAGAAGCATCTGTTCATACATTTCGCCCTCTTTTTGATGGGGCTGTGATTTGTTTTGTAAATTTGTTTAAGTTCTGTGTAGATTCTGGATATTAGCCCTCAGATAGATAGATTGCAAAATTTTCTCACATTCTGTAGGTGGCCTTTTTGATTATAGTTTCTTTTACTGTGCAGAAGCTTTTTAGTTTAATTAGATCCCATTTGTTAATTGTGACTGTTGTTGCAATTGTTTTTGGTGTTTTAGTCATGAATTCTTTGCCCATGCCTATGTCCTGAATAGTATTTGTGTAATTAAAAGATTTTAAACAATATAGGGATAATTAAGTAAACATTTTATTATTATGATAAGTGCAGCGTTTGAATAGGAAGTAATTCCCAGTGAATAGGAAGTAAATGGAACAGAAGAGAGGCCTCAGAAATAACACATTTACTTGATACCTAAAATTAAAAATAAGGATTCAAATAAAAAGACAAGCTATACAGTAAGAATGATTTTATCATGCTGACTTTGATTGCCATAAAGCACTATACTAACAATATTACTACCACTGCTACTTCTACTAAGGAAATAAAAAGAGATATTTAATTGGGCCTATTTCTTAATGGTGATATTGTATTTTGTTATCCACTACCACTCAGTTGGGTTATTAAACATCACTTTGTCTGGCCTTCCAAAATTATTTATGAATCTAATCATTTTATCTTGTTTCATAATATATTACTGAGGCTCAGAGTTTTTCATAAAAAGAGCACCAAAATTTGGTTTTAATTCTCTCCGAACTGTGTGAAAATCTCAGTCAGAATAGGAATTTGATTTCTCCTTAATGAGGGAGTAAAATAGGATACAGAAATGTCTTAGCATGCCAAGCCTGTCATGATGATGCTCACTCCCTAAAAGACCTCCTGTGTCCACAAGCCCCCCCCAGTGCATTTTGGAGTTTTTGTCCTGATAGTCAATGTTCTGCTCTTGAGGCTGGTGTTCATATTCAGTTCTTGGGCTGTTATATACCTCTCAGTTTGGATTTATTATGTGGAAAGCACAGAAATTTGGGGTTTGGAGATCATAACTCAACATTGCTGTCTAATTTATCTTCCATTTGGGGAAATAAAAAATTTCAGTATATGTGTTTTCTATATTTTATACCTGAATTAATAGTGACTCATGGAAACTGAGATGAGACTATGGGGCCATACTTGTTTTGCTCACCATGTAAAACTAAGAAAGTATTCATTGGTGTTTAATTATTGCTAAAGCATCCTAATGTTTTGCACAGGTTTACTGTAATCAAAATAGCTTGTAATAGGAAAGCAATGACTTAGCAGATAGTTGAACTGCTTTAATTATAGGAAACAATGTCCCTTAGAAAGAAGTTAAAATTATATCTAAACCTATATGAAGGAGTGTGATATGATATTAAAATTTAAAAATTGAGCTGAAACAAAAATTATGTATTTGGAAGTGAATAGCTACCATAAAATATTTCAATATATTTTCTTTATTAAAACTTCTGAAGCTAGGCTAAGCTTGAGTTACAGAATATGATAGCATCTATTTCAGTTTCCCTTGCTTTTAGGCATAGCAAGATAAACAGATTCTAGTAAATGGGATGAATCAATAACTGGAATTGTGTAGCTTCTGGAAAGTGTTCTTCGTGGGAGATAACTCTTTTTTTCTTCTCATTGCTGGATTTTCATATTCTCACCCTGTAGACTTTTCATGTGGTCTGAAGTCTGTCATGTGTTTTGTGGGTGGCCACTTCCAGATGCAGATGTCATTATGATTCCAGCCAATGAGGGCTACATTTACATAGATGATGGGATAGAGAGCTGGAAGAAACACAGATCTTTAGTGAACCATTGATGTTGACTAGGTACCTTGTAACATATTACAAGAGATATATTAAGTTCCAACTTCATTTTTCTGGGGCCTTGTGGCAGTTACTACCTTTCCTTCTAGCTGGGGTGCCTTTGGAAACCCTATCAGTTTCTCTCTGTCACTTTCTGCCTCTGCTTTTCTCTGACTTTTCTTTTCCTTTCAAACTCTTTGGTTCTAATACACACTTAGGGGTTTCCTTATTCCGTCCATATTTTCTGAACTCCCCCTTCCCAGATTCTGTGGTTGAAATAAATAATCTAGAATGTTTTGGAAACATTTCCTGACAATTATTGCTGCCATTTTATATCCCCCAGGGTTCATTTACTTATTGGAAACTTATTTAATAAGCTAATTTTAGTGAAATTTTTATCAGCTGTTATTGGACAACTATACATTAGTTTCTAGATAACATTACAATGCTACTTTAGTCTTTATGTTCATTAAAAATAAAGGTCAGGGCCGGGCGCAGTGGCTCACTCCTGTAATCCCAACACTTTGGGAGGCCGAGGCGGGTGGATCACAAGGTCAAGAGATTGAGACCATCCAGGCAAACATGGTGAAACCCCGTCTCTACTAAAAATACAAAAAATTAGCTGGGCATGGTGGCGTGTGCCTGTAATCCCAGCTACTCGGGAGGCTGAGGCAGGAGAATTGCCTGAGCCCAGGAGGCGGAGGTTGCGGTGAGCCAAGATTGCGCCATTGCACTCCAGCCTGGGTAACAAGAGCGAAACTCTGTCTCAAAAAAATAAAATAAATAAAAAATAAAATAAAGGTTAGATTAGTGTGAACATTTTAGAACACAGGCTTAGCAGCAGAGAGAATTAAATACCTCTTACTTTTTTTACAAAGGGATGGTTATCTCTTCTGCCCGTCTGTATGTCCAGAACTATTATAAAATAGGTGCAAATTAATTTAATAAATTTAAAATATAAATTATCTTGCAAATATGTATATACACAAACACATAAATTGACCTTCACCTCAGGACAGATCCATTACTCTATAAGTATTGAATTCTCATACTTCATGTATACAGCATTGACTGTTATTGAGGAAAAAGTCAAAGAGAACAGGTCCTTGTTTGGCAAACTAGATGACAGGAGGAATACTCAGTTCACCGTGACATAGTAGGCAGTTCTAAGATAAACAGCTCCTAGCAATGCTTTGGAAGGGAAATTTTCCTTAGATGGCTCTATAGAAACTCTGTGAAAAAGCTGTTATATCTTTTACAAATCTGCCAGCTACTTTTTATGAGCTTCAGTTGCTCTTTATGACTATAATAAAAGGAGAGTAGAAGCCATGTATATATCCCATGGTCCCCGAAGCAAGCATCCTTACACAGAAAAGGTAATGAGATCTTTGGATGTTCTTTTCCTTCAGCTGCTGGCTGCTCTCTTAACTCGTGTTTTGACACCATTTTATTGTGCCTGTAATAATAAAGTATGTGTGAAATATGTTTGACAGATTTCAGTATTGTTAATCTAGTAATTGGCAACATAGTATATCTACTATCAAGAAAGAATAAACAAATCAATAAGAAAATGAAAATTTTAAATATTCCATTCCATTTGATAGACACCTTGTCATTCAGATATGTATTTGTTAACAGTGTAATCTTAAAATATCTTCCACCTTTAAGCATAAATTCAATATAAATTTTAAAGGACAGTTAACACCATGTATATAAAAATATCAACTCATATTTTATAACAGTGATAGATTTATAAAATTTGTACCTTAAATTCTACATCAATGTAGATATTCTCATAATTTTAACCTCCATAGACATTTTACCAAACTATTGTTTGCCATTAACAAAGTAGATATAAGCAATTTCAAAAAATTTTATTAATGTCCTTCATAGTTACTATGTGTCGTAATATATTGTTTAAATAACATGTAAGAACTATGTCTTTTGGGGTTTAATTCCAAAAATTGGCATGGTTACTTTAAAACTTTTTATACTTTAGGGACAATGTTTCTTAATTTACTAATATTTATCTCTTTGACATCTTGAAAACCCACAGCTACATTATCTTCTTACAAATATATTTTAACCTTATTTTTCCTCATTTCAATTTTCTGATTTTCTGTTTATGTGTTTCCTTTTTTTTGCTTTTTAAAATCCTAGCAAATATAGTAGTAAGCATTTCTATGTCATTGCATACTTTTTCTGAATAATGTTTCGGTGTAATGCAAATAAAGATGTAAGAATTCAGCGCATTTTATTCAAAGCTATTTCTTTCTCTTCTGAGGTCAGCACTGTGGTGTTTATTACTCTCTACCTATGTCTTCATTTTTAATTAAAAAATCTAAACATGACAATTGAGGTAAAGGTAACTCTATGGCATCCTGGTCTCCCTTGCTACTGGACTACTTTCAGTTTGAACCATGCATTATACTTCAACATCATTAAACAACTTTTAAATCCTCATAGACAGAAACATTTTGCCTCCTTGTTCACCTTCCCTACATATATTCACTTCTCTTTATGGTTACATAGTTTTAAGATTTAATTTTGACATCATTTTTTTCACTAAAGATGTGACTTCGTTTTGAGCACAGTGTCTTGAGCACATTGAATATTTTCTCCTGTTGCTCTTATGTCTATACAATCAGTGCTGTCACATTATTGGATACGTAAGTATTGACCCAACTCACCCTATATCACCTTTGCCAAAAATAAACAGCATTTATTTTGTTTTTCTGCCTTTTCATTATCTGTTCATTTTACATAAAAGCTTCATTTTACATAAATAAGACTTTTCTTTGTCTTATTTATCATTCAGATCTTATCTTCTCCATCAACTCTTCATCAATGTCCAAGATTTTTCTCTTTATTCTTCTGTACTCCTACGTCATTACTGGTTATGCTTTTCATCTGGCAATTTGAATGTTCTTCATGTTGTCATTAGTCTTGTTAATTGCTTAAAAACATGTCCTGTATCCTCAACTAGGCTGAAAACCCTGAAGGAAGAACTGGCTCTTAACTAAGTTCATGGCTGACCTGGGAATGTTCTTATGTAGACCTATGAATCTTTTGAACTTATAGGTAATACAGTGTATTTATGTACATTTCTAGGTATTTTTTTTCAAAACGCAGTGGCTAAAAGTCTTTGTCAATATAATGAAGGCCTTCATATCTAAAATCCACTGACCTAAAATAATAAGAATCATAATTTATACTTTTATTTCTTCCATAAGGCATATAAGTTAAAATACTTAAAAAGTATTTGTAATTAATTCTCCAAACCTTAGGCTCCTAGTTGGAACCCCTGGAGTGATACTCTCTAGAAGTGTAGAAAAACCATAGCTAGACAAAACTAATAAGCAAATGCAGTGAAGCTCTAAGTTAGCCCCAATCCATAATGGTCCTGTCTCCTATTGGGTTGTATTGCTTATGTTATTTTTTTAAAGAATACTTTTACATATTTTCTCATGAAATTACAAATAATAATTTTGCAAAATATGTATGTATATTTTAAGAAATACTTGTAAAGAGAATATCCACGTAAATACCATGAAGCTCAAGATCTGGATAATTGCCTACAAATCAGAAGCTTCTTGGAAGTCCCTCCATATGTAAATATTCTTTTCTCCTAGAGATTTTATTCTTTCCAAATCTAGATATATTAATGTGTAAATAAACATTGATATGCCATAATTGCTGAAAGATTCCTCTTAGTAAAAAACTACTCATGCCCCTCTCTTGTTTCTGTGTGTTATTCATTCAGAATCATAAACTCTATTTTTTCCAACTATTTTAAGGCTATTTGTTATTATATTAATACAATAAATATCCAATGTAAAATTTATCATTCTATATAATAAAGATAATGTCCCCTTCTCAGGCAAGAGTTAGACAGGCTAACCTTTGCCCAGTATAAAGTATGAATTATTCAAGCCAGCATTCTTGAAACTGTGGCAGGCAAACTGGAGAGCAGACACATAAAATAAAATTTCAGACCCTTTAGAGTTCTTGGCAATCCTACCTTATAAAGATATTATGTCTCCACAGATTTTTATGTGTATGCAGTATAATTCCAGTCAAAAAATATTTTTGTTGAACTTGACAAATGTATTCATATATTGTATACATATAAATGCAAAAGAAGTCTATCAGGAAGAATATTTTTGAAGAAAAATAAGATGGAAGGAGATAATCTATAAGATATCATAACTTTTTATATAGCTAAAGTGATTAAGAAAATGTGGAATTGGCACAAGCATTTGGAAAACGGATGTTGGAACAGAAAAGAGAGCCACAAAATAGATTTATACTTATATGAACCCTTGATATATGAGAGATATATCATGGTAGATAAATAAGGAAAGAACAGATATTTTAATAAATTGAGATACCATATTTTTATATCAATATAAAAATAAAATTGAATTCCTACACCACATCATTTCCACAGATTAATTCCATACTTATCTGAGAAAAATATAAAGATATTAAGCAGTTGTATAATCATGAACTTCTTTGGAATTGAAAAGAGTTTTTAAACAAGATGAAAAACAAAACTTATAAGGGAAAATATTCTAAATATGAATGTATATCTATATCTATATATTAGATGAATTCAAGGTTGGTATTTTTTAATTGATATAGGAAGTGTTATTAGTTATGCCATGTAGAAATGAAAGTCTTCTGCTTTGCTGTAGAGAGTAGACAATGGCTCAGTGACTTTGGCAAACATTTCGGCAATATTGATGATCCATGTATGGTATGACCCATCAATTCCAGATAGATACTCCAAATAATCTTTAGTCTTTGCACAGGTGCATCAAGGTGTTAGAAATGTTTATGACAAATTTGTTTATGAATATCCCTGAAGCTAGAAATGACTCAATGACTATCAGCAGTAAGATGGAAAATGAACTAGAGTATAATACGGCAATACTTTCTAGCAATGGAACTACGTGAAATATGGCTACATGCAACACAGATGTATCTCAAAACACGTTTAGGAAGTCAGTGCAGAAAAAAGGGAAATGGACAAGTTGTCTATATAAACCAAAACTTAGTGACAACTAAGTGCTATTATATGTGTATATGAGATAAAATGATTATGCATATTCTGTTAAACCTTTCAATCAATGGCCAAAGCATTTAGCTCACAGTCAAATAGAAATGACTTTGGTGTGCATCTTTGTTTCATTCCTGATCTGAGGAAAAACTTATATTTCCTGGTTAATAGATTTACTATTGGAGGTAAGTATTTTCATATTGTGGAAGTTTCACTCTTATTGCTGATTTGCTAAGAGCATTTTCTGTATTAATACATATTGCAGTTAATCAAAAGCTTTTCCTGCATTTATTGTGACATATATTTTCCTATTTAGCATTTGAGATGAATTACAGTATTTGATTTTCTAGTGTAAAACTGAGTTGGATTTAAATCAAGGAAGCTATAATGTATGTTTTCTCAGTTTCATAACATTTTGTTTAATATTTCCACTGTGTTCTTGAATTGGTTACTTATAATTTTTCCTGCATTGTCATCTCAGTAATTGGTAAAAAGGGTATGTTAGCATGATAAAATGAATTGTGACATATTTTCTATTTTGCTGATACTCTGACAGGGTTGATAAGATACATGTGTTGCTTTTCCTTTAGCATTATTAGAGTTTGCAGGGCAAATCATACAGGCCTGTAATTTCTTTAGTGGCAAATATTTTTCATATTGCTGTCATTATATTAATATAATTGTTTTATAGTTGAATTATTATTTGCATCGTGAATCATTAAATAGCCCATATTTGTATATTTTTGGTATTACAAGGGTAAGGAGTTGAATTATTTTATAATTGAATTAATATATAAGTTGTAAGATTTTATATATTTTCTATTGCATCTTTATTTAAAGTTAAGTTCTTATTTCATTAATAAAATGTGATTCATAATATGTTTTCATTTTGGCAGAATCTGTTGCTAATGGCCCACTGTCTCCTCATTTCAGTTGTATGTGTCTTCTACCAACTAACCATGATCAGCCTTCCAGCAAAGGAATCGTTTTGTCACTTGAAAATGACAATATTTTAAATGATATATTTATGCTTAGTTTTCGTTTCATTACATTAGTCCCTACTCTACGCGATTTTATTTTTCTTTTAAATTTTACTTTAAACTCTTTCTGGTATTTCTATTTGGATTCCATTTAATATAGTGAGTTTCAGTCTTTCCTTTTATAATACACACATGAGATGCCCCAAGTCTGTTAGGTCTGGATTTGGTTATGCTACAATGTTTAGCTGTCATTTTTAAATATTTTTAAATTTTCATTATAATTTCCTCTATGACTTATTTTCTATTTAGAAGAACGATGACTATCACAACACCTGAAGACCTTGTCTGGACATCAGCATAATTATTTTTCATTTCCTACAATTACTGCATACATTTTTTTATTATAATTGAAGT